TCAGGACTGCCTTTGTTGTGTCCCACAGATTTTGAACTGTTGTGTTTTCATTATCATTTGTGTCCATGAATTTTTTCAATTCTTCTTTAATTTCCTGGTTGACCCATTCATTCTTTAGAAGGATGCTGTTTAGTCTCCATGTATTTGGGTTCTTTCCAAATTTCCTCTTGTGATTGAGTTCTAGCTTCAGAGCGTTGTGGTCTGAAAATATGCAGGGAATGATCCCAATCTTTTGATACCATTTGAAACCTGATTTAGGACCCAGGATGTGATCTATTCTGGAGATTGTTCCATGTGTACTAGAGAATAATGTGTATTCTGTTGCTTTGGGATGACATGTTCTGAATGTATCTGTGATGTCCATCTGGTCCAGTGTGTCATTTAAGGCCTTTATTTCCTTGTTGATCTTTTGCTTGGATGATCTGTCCATTTCAGTGAGGGGAGTGTTAAAGTCCCCTACTATTATTGTATTATTGTCGATATGTTTCTTTGATTTTGTTATTAATTGGTTTATATAGTTCGCTGCTCCCACGTTAGGGGCATAGATATTTAAAATTGTTAGATCTTCTTGTTGGACAGACCCTTTGAGTATGATATAGTGTCCTTTCTCATCTCTTATTGTAGTCTTTGGCTTAAAATCTAATTGATCTGATATAAGGATTGCCACCCCTGCTTTCTTCTGATGTCATTAGCATGGTAAATTCTTTTCCACCCCCTCACTTTAAATCTGGAGGTGTCTTCGGGTTTAAGATGAGTTTCTTGTAGGCAACATATAGATGGGTTTTGTTTTTTTATCCATTCTGATACCCTGTGTCTTTTGATTGGGGCATTTAGCCCATTAACATTCAGGGTAAGTATTGAGAGATATGAATTTAGTGCCATTGTATTGCCTGTAAGGTGACTGTTATTGTATATTGTCTCTGTTTCTTTCTGATCTACTACTTTTAGGGTCTCTCTTTGCTTAGAGGACCCCTTTCAATATTTCCTGTAGAGCTGGTTTGGTATTTGCAAATTCTTTCAGTTTTTGTTTGTCCTGGAAGCTTTTAATCTCTCCTTCTATTTTCAATGATAGCCTAGCTGGATATAGTATTCTTGGCTGCATGTTTTTCTCGTTTAGTACTCTGAATATATCATGCCAGCTCTTCCTGGCCTGCCAGGTCTCTGTGGATAAGTCTGCTGCCAATCTAATATTTTTACCATTGTACGTTACAGACTTCTTTTCCCGGGCTGCTTTCAGGATCTTCTCTTTGTCACTAAGACTTGTAAATTTTACTATTAGGTGACGGGGTGTGGACCTATTCTTATTGATCTTGAGGGGGGTTCTCTGAACCTCCTGGATTTTGATGCTTGTTCCCTTTGCCATATTGGGGAAATTCTCTCCAATAATTCTCTCCAATATACCTTCTGCTCCCCTCTCTGTTTCCTCTTCTTCTGGAATCCCAATTATTCTAATGTTGTTTCGTCTTATGGTGTCACTTATCTCTCGAATTCTCCCCTCATGGTCCAGTAGCTGTTTGTCCCTCTTTTGCTCAGCTTCTTTATTCTCTGTCATTTGGTCTTCTATATCGCTAATTCTTTCTTCTGCCTCATTTATCCTAGCAGTGAGAGCCTCCATTTTTGATTGCACCTCATTAATAGCTTTTTTGATTTCAACTTGGTTAGATTTTAGTTCTTTTATTTCTCCAGAAAGGGCTTTTATCTCTCCCGAGAGGGTTTCTCTAATATCTTCCGTGCCTTTTTCGAGCCCGGCTAGAACCTTGAGAATCGTCATTCTGAACTCTAGATCTGACATATTACCAATGTCTGTATTGATTAGGTCCCTAGCCTTTGGTACTGCCTCTTGTTCTTTTTTTTGTGGTGAATTTTTCCGCCTTGTCATTTTGTCCAGATAAGAGTATATGAAGGAGCAAGTAAAATACTAAAAGGATGGCAACAACCCCAGGAAAATATGCTTTAACCAAATCAGAAGAGATCTGAAATCATGGGGGGGAGTAAGGGGATAAAAAAAGTTTCAGAAAAAAAAAAAGGAAACAATTAAAAAAAGAAAATGAATAAAGAGAAAATATAAAAAAGAAAAATATATAAGATTAGTTAAAAAACGTTAAAAATGAAAAGGGTAAAAGTTATAAAAATTTAGCAGAAGAAAAAAAAATTGAAAAAGAAAAAAAATTAAATTAACTGCAAGACTAAAGAATCATGGGGAGAAAGCCATGAGTTCCGTGCTTTGCTTTCTCCTCCTCTGGAATTCCGCTGCTCTCCTTGGTATTGAAACTGCACTCCTTGGTAGGTGAACTTGGTCCTGGCTGGGTTTCTTGTTGATCTTCTGGGGGAGGGGCCTGTTGTAGTGATTCTCAAGTGTCTTTGCCCCAGGCGGAGTTGCACTGCCCTTACCAGGGGCCAGGCTGAGTAATCAGCTCGGGTTTGCTTTCTGGAGCTTTTGTTCCCTGAGCGCTTTCCGTAGAGTTCTGGAGGTCGGGAATGAAGATGGAGGCCTCCCAGTCTCCGGGCTGGAGGAGCCGAGAGCTCGGGGCCCAATTCCTCAGTGCGCCCTCATAGAATAGCACCCAGTTACTCCTGTCTCCCTGGCCTCTGGCTGCCCTCTGAGCTCACCGAGCCTGCGACCGGTTCAAGGTAACCCCGAGCTTAGAGCTCACTCCTCAGCTCTGTCTCTGTAGCCGGCTTCCCTGTTTTAATATCTGCAAGCTCTGTGACACTCAGACACCCCCGATCCTTCTGTGACCCTGCGGGACATGAAGTCACGCTGACCCCGCGTGGACTTCACCCCGGTTAAACCTCTGGAGCGATGTCCCTCAGCGGAACAGACTTTTAAAAGTCCTGATTTTGTGCACCGTTGCTCCACCGCTTGCCGGGAGCCGGCCCCTGCCCCCGCGGTCTATCTTCCCATCGCTTTGGATTCACTTCTCCGCCAGTCCTACCTTTCAGAAAGTGCTTGACTTTCAGTTTCTAGAATTGCTGTTCTTCTTCTCCTCAATCTCCCGTTGGATTTGTAGGTGTTTGCAATCTTTAGATAAGCTATCTAGCTGATCTCCCGCTACCTGAAGTAGTCTCAGCCTGCTACTTCTCCACCATCTTGACTCCTCCCCTCATTCTGTTCTTTTAAAAATTTTCCCCACATGAAGATCTAATAATTAAGTGAATCAGTTGGTCTAGATCTGGTAGAATCTAACAGTATATTATATTTTGAAGCAAATTTTCTCTTTTCCTGAGGATTAAGAAAATCTTTAATAATAGACCTCAGCTCAGATCTAGACCATGGCTTAACTTAATTTCTATGGCCTGACTTCTGTTCTAGCATGAGGTTACCGTACAATCTGATAATTTCGTTGCTGAGAATAAGGAGGTCAGGGGAAGGGGAAGAAATAGGGTAAGAAGGAGAACAAAGATAAAGTTGTATAGGAAAAAGAGATTGTTTGCCTCTTGAGGAAAGAACTCATGTCCTGTTTCTTCTTAGAAGTAGCCTTTTATCACTGACTTCACCTACAAAATGATCTAAAATGGGTAAATGACTATAAAAGTAGTCATCTATTAAATTTAATATAGCTAATATACATATGGACTGAGGTGTAAAATAAAATGTGGTGTATTGCAAAGAAAATATGACATTTCCTGCTATAAGGGAGGTACAGTCCAGTAGAGACAGTAGGAAGTGAGGGAACTATGTGAATTGTGCACATTTTCTATGTACTAGACATGCTCATAGATGCTGTATTTTATTTTTGAATATTTAATATTTAATTATTTGAATTATTTGAATATTTAATATTTAATATTCAAAATAATCCTGAGAGGGGCTCCTGGGTGGCTCAATTGGTTAAGCATCTGCCTTCGGTTCAGGTCACCATCTCCATGTCCTAGGATTGAGTCCTGTGTAGGGCTCCCAGCTCAGCGGGGTGTGTGCTGCTCCCTCTCCCCCTGCCTCTCCTCCTGCTCATCCTCTCTCTCTGTGTATCTTTCTGTATTTCCCTGTCTCGAATGAATAAAATCTTTAAAAAAAAACAAAACACCAAAATAATCCTGAGGAATACATAGATTACCTCTCCCCTTCCCCATTTTATAGTTTGGGCAATAAAGACTCTGAGAATTTAAAGGTTTTACCAAGGTTACACAACAAGAGACATATGAAACCAGGATGAGAACCTGGTCTGAGACATAAACAAGTAGAAGGCAGAATGAAACATGCAACTGAGGCATAAAAATAAGCCTTTGGAGTTTAATACCATCGAAGTGTCTTTAGTTCAGGAATATTTAAGGAAGGCTTCATGAAGGAGGTAACACTTAAGCTGTAGGTTTAGGAAGGTGGGGGGGGGCTGCCTGGGTGGCTCAGTCAATTAAGCATCTGCCTTTGGTTTGGGTCATGATCCCAGTACCCTGGGATTGAGTGCTGTGTCTGACTCCCTGCTCATCAGCAGGGAGTCTGCTTCTCTCTCTCCCTCTCCTTCTTTCCTCTGCATGTGCTTTCTCTCTCTTTCTCTCTCTCAAATAAATAAATAAATAAATATTTTTTAAAAAAGATTTTGAAGGTAGATTTGTCAAAGAAAGCCAATGAATTATAGAGTTGGGATTGAATCCAATTTAATCTGAAGCCAGAGCCTATTTTCTTTCCATTACATAAAACTAGAACAGCGAGAGCAAATGTGGGAAGCCAGTGTGACTTTTATGAAAAGAGATTTTATTATCTCAAGTTATAGAAAAAAAAGCTGAAAAGGAAGGTCAAGACAAAAATATGAAGGAACTTCAGTGCAAACACATGTCATACAGTGTAGAAGAAATCATTCCAAATACCATGATTACCTATGAAGATTACATTTAATTTCTCTCCTTGGCAACTCTTACCTCAAGACCAGTATTTCAGAGGGTCTGGTGGGTGGAATGATAATGGAGCAAAATGGAGGTAGGTCTGGGAGTGGGGCTATAGAACAGGAAAACTGGAAACTGCTTTTGATAGGAACCAATGTATTCTTTGATGTATTTGTTTTTAGTTGAAACCATTTTACAGAATGAAAGCCCTATCAAAGGCTGATCGTGAAAGAGCAGAAAATCAGACGATTCCAAAACTAATCGATTTATTGGAACTTGCACAGAAGGAAAAAAAATTTGTGATGTTTGATCTTAATGCCCCTCCACGAAAACATCCTCTCAGAGGCACATATATTCGCCATGTAGTACGCTTAATCCTTGACTCTAAAATTGAGCAACATCTGGTATGTCTACCTCATTATTCATGGTAGAGTTTGGGAGGTGGGTAACATGTCCCAGGAGAATAGCAGTTGAGCTTGACCTATCCTGTAGATCTTCCCTGAGATGCCCAAATAATTTTGCTATCTGTAGAAATGGAGGTTTTTACTTACGTAGCTGCATGTCGCAGTCTAAGAATGACCCAGTTGAATTTTCCCTAGTAGGGAAAACATGGAAGCTGTTTGCTACTCCAAACCAAATGAAATAACAGCACTCTGTTAAAAAAAAAAAAGTATGTGTGTAATGATTATGTGATGTGACCTGCGTCGTCACTGGCATAGAACTATTAGAAGGGGCTTGGGCAACACTGAGGATTTGGCTTTAATTAATGATACAGAAGAAACAACTGGTTCTTATTTGTTCAGAGATTTGAGCAGAGATTTGTTCATCATGTTTTTCAGAAGCAATTCTCTGCACTTGAGCAATCATTCCAAATCTCTTAAGTTCTCAGAATGTGGTAGAGTGCTGAGTGAAACAAATATGTGTTTCCCTGCGAATGGAACTATTTCAACAGATGAATCCTTATAGTATTCCCTGATGACAGGAAATGACCCCTTTCAAAGGTGATTTTTAGTGTCATCAACCATAGGAAATATGATTCCCACCTTTCATCCACACCTACCAACCCTCATCTACTTTGGCTCCTGTGAGGCTGTCTAAATACAATGGGTCTTTGACTCAGGATGTTAACTCTGAGAAATCTCAGCTCCAGAACAATCCTGGTGAAAGCCCCGTTATAAGAGTTCATTAGACAGTATTAGGCCAAGTTGCGTCTCATCAAGAACTAGAATCTCTCTCCACTCCCTGTAGACTGTTAACCAGTGCTGGAATGAGGCTCCATTTATTCTACATGGGGCTCTTTGTACCTGGAGAACTGATTATCCACTGAGTGACTTCCTTTTTTTCCTTACAGATTTTTTGGTTGCCAGCTTTCGACAGGGAATATGTCAAACAAGCAGCTCCTGGTTTTCAGCAAGTGGGCAGGTTATATTCCATTGAACGTCTTACAAAAGAAAATATCAGTAGAATAAATGTTGACTACAAGAGGTTGTTCTACAGTGGGTTGAGGTAAGAGTTTGACCACACTCCTCTTGGCAAATATTGCCTTACTTGCATAGAATCTGCTCTCCCACCAAGCTCCTTAGCTTCTCCTTCTCATCTCAGGATTTCTTTGTATGGCTCTTTTTGGAATCCCCTGTTTTCCCCTCTTCCCCTTCCACCCTATCTTCCACCCTCCCTCCCTCTACCAGCAAACATTTATCAAGTGTAGACTATGTCCCTTGAACATAGTCTTCAGCCCCTTCTCCTTTATCTCCAATCTATTATCATTCAACACGCTGTTTTGTATGCTTGGTGGTTTTGTTCCCATATAAGGTGATCATTGAACAGTCAGAAATCAGGAAGTTGTTTATTTCCTTCCGCCATTACCAGATGGATTGCAGTACCTCATCAATAGCTTTGTGGTCCAGATAGCCACATTTCTTGTAGGGATAATTAAGAACATAACTAAATCATTAAAAAAAAAACAACAACCTTAAAATCGCCAAGCACGAGAAGAAACTAAAATTATTAGCTACATTTATAAATATGTAATTAATGACAGATTTTTCAAATCAAAAGTACCAGGGAATAAAATGTCAACTTTTCCAAACTTAACTATTATTAATCACAGCTTAATTTAGTCCATATTTCCTTTCTCTTAGATTTAAAAGTAAATTTTTTCAGATGCTTTTAAATGCTTCAAAGACAAAGTTTTCCTTGGAGAAATGTATATCCAAAATCTCTTTGGGCTTAATAAAAATTGCCACTAAATACCTTTCTGCGTCTCAAGCCATGAACTAAGCTGTTGGATTTACCTCTGCTCCTGTTCTCACTTTTCCTGCTTCTCTGGCCATGTGGTTGATCATGAAATCTTGCCTTTTTCCTTTTGCTATTTCCCAATCAGAACATTTTTCTTTGCTCAACTACTACTGCTATTTTGAGTGTATTTCTCTTTCCTTTTACTTTTTTTCAAATAGAAAATAGTTCTATGATGTTCTTCTACTCATAATTTAGATCAACGAGTAGTTGAAAAATAATTATAATAGCTTCCATTTATTGAGCCTTTATTATGTATAGATTCTATGGTTATTAGACCACAGGCTCTTTTTCTCATCATGGCCTACTCATCAGTTACACATGACCTTGGACAAATTTCTAATCGTCCGTTTTCTCATTTGTAAATTAAGAGTAGCAAAACCTAAGGAGAAAAAAAAGAATAGCAGTAACATGATGGACTGGTTAAAGGATTAGATGAGAATATTCTTCATATTATGCACATGCAAAATGCTGGGCAAGTGTAAGTACACAATTAAGTGCTAGCTGCTGCTTTTATCATCACCAGCCTTACATGCTGTGCCCTGGAAATTATCACCATCCCTTTTGCAAATGAGGAAACTTGCCTCTAAAGAGGGAAAGTTCGAACAGGCTAGGTAATCCACCAAAATTAATATACTTGATCAGTGGGGGACCAAACTTAGATTTATTTTTTAAAATATTTTATTTATTTATTTGAGAGAGAAAGACAATACACAAATGGGGAGAGGCAGAGGGAGAAGCAGGTTTTCCTGCTTCTCATGACCCTGGGATCATGACCTGAGCCGAAGGCAGCTGCTTAACCGACTGAACCACCCAGGTGTCCCTAAACTGAGATTTAAACATAGGTCTGACAGAGTCCAGAATCCAAACTCTTTCACCCTTGGTCTTTGAAATTATTTCTTGGCTATAGTTATATGGGCATAGTTTCAACTGACATCAAATTTGAGAGGGATCATATCCTGAGTCCTGTTGGAAGTCAAGCAGCTTAATTTAGCTCAGCGAATATTTACTGTGTGATAATAAGTGCATCATGCTAGTTTTATGTGAAAAGTCGGAAGCAAGGTGCAATCCTTTTCCTTGATTGTATTCCAATAAGGACATGTTTTCTAATAAGCACAATAAGGGTTTTTCCATATAGCTATACTCCAAGGCTGACTGTGAAAAATTCATGTGTTATACATTCTTCCAAGTCCTTCTCCTCAAGGACCATTTTAAGAAATTAATTTGTTGTACCTTAAATTATTTGTATAATGTTTACGACCAGAATATTTGTAATTATGATCACAATTCCAATACATTTTCTGTGTTATGCTCACTTCATAGTCTGGCCACAGTTACAAGACATTGTGACCTTGCCATTTTGACTGAGAATGCTTTAAATACATTATTTTAATCAAAATTATATGAATATAGAGATGCCCTCTGCTTTATTTCTGATGTGGGAATTTTAAAGTGTTTTAAAAACTTAATTTTAGGGGCAGCTGGATGGCTCGGTCAAGCTTCTGCCTTTGGCTCAGGTCATGATTCCAGGGTCTTGGGGCTTAGCCCCACATTTTTTCCTAGCACCATTTATTGAAGTGATTATCTTTCCCCAATCATATATTCTTGCCTCCTTTGTCCTAGATTAATTGACTGGGTATGTGTGAGTTTATTTCCAGGCTCTTTGTTCTTTTGATCTGTGTGTCTGTGTTTTGCCTGTAGCATACTGTTTTGTTTATTACAGCTTTGTAGTATATTTTGAAATCTGAGCTTGTGATACCTCCAGCTTTGTTGTTTTTTCTTAAGATTGCTTTGGCTATTTGAGGTGTTTTGGGGTCTCATACAAATTTTAGGAATACTTGTTCTAGTTCTGTGAAAAATGTTCTTGGTATTTTGATAGATAGTTTGAATCTGTAGATTACTTTGAATAGTATGGACATTCTAACATTATTAATTCTTTCAATCCATGAGCGTGGAATTCTTTCCATTTCTTTGTGTCATCTTCAATTTCTTTCGTTAATTGTTTTGTAGTTTTCAGAGGGCAGGTTTTTCACCTCCTTGATTAAATTTGTTCCTAGGTATTTTATTCTTTTTGGTGTAATTGTAAATGGGATTATTTTCTTAATTTCTCTCTATGTTGCTTCATTTTTAATGTATAGAAACACAACAGATTTCTGTGTATTAATTTTATATCCTGCAACTTGACTGAATTAATTTATCAGTATGATGTTAGCTCTGGGTTTTTCATATATGGCATTTACAATATTGCAGCATGTTCCCTCTAACCCCACTTTTTTGAAAGTTTTTATCATGAACAGATATATTTTTCAGATGCTTTTTCTGCACCTTTTGAGATGATCATATGGGTTTTATCTTTCTTCTTGTTAATGGAATATATCTCATGGGTTGATTTGCTAATATTAAACCATACTTGTGTACTTGTAATAAATCCCACTTGATTGTGCTGAATAATTTTTTCATTGTATTGTTGAATTCAATTTGCTAATATTTTGTTGAGGATTTTTGCATCTTTGTTCATTGAAGATATTGGCCTGTAGTTCTTTTTTATTGTGTCCTTTTCAGGTTTTGGTATCAGGGTAATCCTAGCCTCATAGAATGAATTTGGAAGTTGTCCTTCCTCATATTTTTTTGGAAAAATTGGGGAAGAATAGTTATTAACACTTATTTAAATATTTGGTATACTTCACCCATGGAGCTATCTGGTTCTGTACTTTTATTTGATTACTGATTAAATTTCATTACTAGTGATTGATGTGTTCAGATTTTCTATTTCTTCCTGATTCAGTTTGGAAAATTGTATGTTTCTTGAAATTTATCCATTTCTGCTAGGTTGTCTAATTTGTTGATGTATAATTATTTATATTCTTTTGTAATTTTTTGTATTTCTGTGGTGTTCATTGTTACTTCTCTTCTTTGATTTCTGAATTTATTTGAGTCATCTGTCTTTTTTTTTATGAGTTTGGCTAAAGATTTATTAATTTTGTTTAATTTTTCAAAGAAACAACTCTTGGTTTCACTGAGGTTTTTTTTGTTCTTTTTTTGTCTGTTTATTTCCACTCTAATCTTTATTATTTCCTTCCTTCTACTTGTTTTGTTTGTTCTTTTTCTAGCTCTTTTAGATGTAAGATTAGGTTGTGTATTTGTAGTTTTTCTGGTTTCTTGAGATAGGCCTTTATTTCTACAAACTTCCCTTTTTGAACTGCTTTTGCTTTGTCCCAAAGATTTTGGATCATTGTGCTTTCATTTTCATGTTTATGTAAATATTATTTCCTCTTTGATTTCTTCATTGATCCATTGGTTGTTTAGTACCATGTTGTTTAGCCTCCATGTGTTTGTGGTTTTTCCAATTTTTTTTCTTGTAATTGATTTCTAGTTTCATGCTGTTGTGGTTGGAAAAGATACTTGGTATAATTTCAGTCTTCCTGAATTTATTGATACTTATTTTGTAGCCTAACATGTGATCTGTCTTGGAGAATGTTCCTTGTGCAGTTGAAAAGAATCTGTATTCTGCTGCTCGTGGATGGAATGTTCTGTGTATATCTGTTACGTCTAGTGTATCATTCAAAGCCAGTGTTCCTTTGCTAATTTTCTGTCTGGGTGATCTATCCATTGATTTTTTTTAAAAGATTTTATTTATTTATTTGACAGAGATCACAAGTAGACAGAGAGGCAGGTAGAGAGAGAGGGAAGCAGGCTCCCGCTGAGCAGAGAGCCTGATGCGGGGCTCAATCCCAGGACCCTGAGACCATGACCTGAGCTGAAGGCAGAGGCTTAAACCACTGAGCCACCCAGGTGCCCCCTATCCATTGATTTAAAGAGTATTAAAGTCCCCTACTATAATTGTATTACTGTCAGTTTCTCCCTTTATAACTGTTAATATTTGCTTATATATACACGTGCTCTACTGTTGGGTGTGTAGATATTTATATTTGTTATATCCTCTTGTTAGATTAATTTCTTTATCATGTAATGCAGTTCTTTGTATCTTGTTATAGTCTGTGTTTTAAAGTCCATTTTGTCTGATAGAAGTATTGCTACCCTGGCCTTTAAAAATTTTTTTTGCTTCCATTTGCATAAAATAAGTTTTTCTACCCATTCACTTTCAGTCTGTATTTGTTTTCAGGCCTAAAGTGAGTCTCTTGTAGGCAGAATAACATTGGTCTTGGATTTTTTTGTTTTTTGTTTTGTTTTTTTTAGCCATTCTTTCACTT